TGGTGCCCCATTAATACATATGTGGTCCTTTACAGTGTTTAGTTTTCCATATCCGAAGAGTTAAAAGTCTGAAGCAGGTTAGGCAACAGAGGAAAGGGAAAGAGATGGAGGCAGATATAAATAGGAAGAGATTTGCATTTTTTCCTAGTTAGAGGTGCCTACCTAAGTTTAGTTGCTGTAGGGTACGTTTATTAAGGGCTTGTGGCTTTTGATGGTGATTTTAAAATAAATTGCTGTGTGGGATGAAAATGAAAGATGAAGTGTTGCTAGGTAGCAAGTAAGTGTTCCCAAGTGGGCATATATGATGTATTACAGAGATATTTATCATGGGCTGATGATATATTCAGCTATCCACAAACACAGTGTGTATACTGTAAAAAGGACTGTAAAACTTCTTAAGTCATTCTTGTGTAGAAATATGGCTGCAATCTGATTACACATGAGCATGTCTAATTTCAGGCCTAGTAAACACTGGTGTGCATAGATTGCATAGCGCAAAGTGTAAATCATCCCGGTAGTTCACTGTATCTTGATTGGCAAATGCAACATTTACCTAGGAGTAAAGTTCCACTGAACACAATGGTTGAAATCAAGTTGTAAGTTGCAACTACAGTAGATCAATTAAACCATGGCTGATTTGGTGAGTCAACGCCTACTTAAGTTCATTTGATTCAATGGGTTTACTCTGATTATGACTTGCTACTAGATTTTAGTCCGTGAGACCTAAATATGCAAGTTGTGTTCAATAATACATAATTTCAGTGGTGCAATCTTCTCACCTGAATCAAACTAAAGAAGAATCTATTTTTCCGGTTTGAAGATCTTGATCCACAGAGCATTGCTTGGCTGACTCCTGTGACAGCTGCAAGGTTGACACTCCTGAGCGAGGCTGTGAACAGGGTTGATAACACTGGGGCTCACGCTTGTCATGATGTCACCCAACTTATTCCCATGATGAGAGTCCTGAACATTACAGTATTTTTTTAAAAGGGAGATAGAGCCCTGGACTAAATTTTAACTCAATAGCCACACTAGCTTTTAGAAGTCAGTATAGAACTTGGTAAAATGTAAAGTAACAGAGATTGTTCCTGAATATGGGGCTCCTACTGTTGTTACCTGTGGGAAATTATAACTGAAATAGCAGTTGATTTTACACATTTCTTGGAATAATAAACTTTATCTGTATATACACAGCATTATCTTCTCTCCACACCAGTAGTGGTGACATAATTGCATGGTGGTGTCATCCAAAGTGTAGACCAGGCTCAGAATAATCTTTGCAGCATATACCTTAGAGCCTCGTGGTGCAGTGGTTAAAACGCTGTACTGCAGCTAAAACTGTGCTCACGACCTGGGGTTCAAATCCCAGGTAGCCGGCTCAAGGTTGACTCAGCCTTCTATCCTTCCGAGGTCGGTAAAATGAGTACCCAGCTTGCTGGGGGGGGGGCAATATGTAGCCTGTATAATTAAAATTGTAAACCGCCCGGAGAGTGCTTGTAGCGCTATGGGGCGGTATATAAGTCCAATAAAAAAATAAAAAATAAACAAACAAACAAACAAACAAATAAATAAATAAATAAATGGTTTTTTTCTTTTTAATTTTCTAATTATTCCTACAATGATTTCTGCCTGGTTTTAAATGAAAGCTGTGGCAACATACTCTATGCTATATTATCTTTCCTCCCCTGAATCCCACTTTATTGATACAAGGGCAGTCACTGAAAAAAAAATTATTTACTTTTAAAATCATTTTGAAGACCAGTATTGTCATCATATTACACTAGCATAACACCATAATACAAAACATTGGTATTACCCCATTATGGTGTTAAATTGCTATACCTTTTTTGTGGGTGGAGTTGCAAAGTGCTTCAGTATTTATATTTGTGTTATGGTCCCATACCATGATAAAGCCATAGGCTTTCAATGAGGAAATCACCCAAAGTGTTGGGAAATAAACCCAGGATCTGCCAATGATCTGAGCCTACATGTAATATTAGTTGAAGGGCTTGAACTGTAGGAGCCTCTGATGGAGCCAAGTGGGGTTGGGTTCCATGGCGCTGTGCCCCAGCCCTGCCCCATTAATGCACTGAAGGTCATGCTTTGTAGTGGCACGCCTGCAAAACCTCAAGGAGGGAAGGGGCTGCATACTGATTGTTCTTACATTTCCAATAGGTGTAACAGTGAAAAAGTTCCTTTTTAAAAGAGGTAGTAATGTTAGTGTGTTTTCAGCATGTATACCAAAAATATTGCGGCACCTTAAAAACTATGGGATCACAGGCTATTTTGGTGTGAGCTTTCATGGACTGCAATCCTCTTCCTCAGAAGCAAAGAAGAAAATATACCATCACAAGTTTAGATACAATTTTGGGGGTGTGAACCCAGTGAAAGCACAACAAAGTTTGAAGTGGCAATAGCATAATTCACACAAGTAATGAATTCTGAAAGTATTAATTACTTACATAACCATCATAGCCACTGCTGGAGTTAGTTCCAGGGTCAAGTAAGCATAGGCAGGTCTTTAGTAGAAATGGAATTTGTCTCATAATTTGTTTACCTGTTTACATGTAACAAACACACTGACAGATACATACGTAAACAATCAAACTTCCTAGTGCTGGTTGTTAAGAGTACTGTACTGCTGAATGTTCTTTAGAAAGAAATCTTAGCCCTGTGCCCAGTCTTACAATGAACACATACATACTCTTCTATTACTCATGAGATGCAGATACAGCAAAGGACTTAAGACAGACAGCTCTCTGTAAGAGAAACTGCTAGCCTAGAAAGGAGACGTTTATCTGTCTGAGAAGGAAAAAAATATTAGGTCATATCCCCTCTGACCTGTGTAGTGCAGATGGTAAAGCTGTCAGTCTAATTGACAGAAGACCTGCTGGCAACATATTAAGTATAATTAATCTGGAACTATAATTTGCATTTTTCTAGCCTCCCCAAGAATGTTATTCAATAAACCCTTGTTCTTGAGAACAATGCACTGATGCTAGCAAGCATTTGGCTGGGAATCTCAGCTTGTCTCTGTATGTCTGCTTCTATGAAGCCGGAACCTTCAGGGCAAAACCAGATGTGATTACAGTAGATCTGTTTGTTGTGGGGGAGGGGAGCACTATGGGGAGAGAATATTTTTCTCCCCTGTTGAGGTCTACTTTCCCACAGAAGCTGCAAGCTGAAAAAAAAAAGACTGAAACTAATGGTAGCCAGCTCCCTGCTTCTTTCTGCTCTCCCAGACTGCTGTCTAGGGAGGGAAACTGCCCTTGCCAACTGTCTGATTACTTTCGATTGGCTTTGGAAAATAGGCCAACGGTAGCAGCGAATTGTCCAACTCTGATATAAACTCATATTCACTTTAATTATAGGAAAGTACTCAACATTTGGAGCTAAAGGTGTTGACTAAGGTCCCAAAAGTTGCATGTAAAATATGCATGTGTGTGTGTTGAGTGCTTGAGTTTTAGCACTCAAGGAGAGATTTAAACTTATCTCTTCTGACCACTGAAAACAAGCGATCGCAAGAGTTCTGCTGGAAGTAGAATGTCTAGTGGTTAGCTGCTCAGAGTGGTCGATTCGATCAGATGAGCGAATAATAATAATAATAATAATAATAATAATAATAATAATAATAATAATAATAATAATAATAATAATAATAATAATGAAAATGCTATCTTCCTGTCATTAAATAGTCACATCAGTCATCACAGAGGTAAGGGAGCAACATTTTCCCCACAGCCCAGTTCATTAAAGGCAGGCCATGTGTCAGATTTAGCTCCAGGGCTGCAGGTCTCTACCCTTGATGTAGAGCATAGACTGGAAGGAGCTAACAGCATATTTCTATTATTCAGGTGCAATAATCACTGTATGATTATGAGAACTATTATTACTAAGTCTTTCCATGTTATTGATAATTTTATATTCTCTTATTTCTTTCTTTGCTAACCATGTCTTTTTTCTAAATAAAAAAAGCTCAAAGTTGTGACCCTTTCTTACACAGGAGCTGCTTGTTTTGGCTGCACATTTCTGTGCCTTTTTTCAGGATACTTTATCCTTTCTTAAGGGTGCAGTGGTCAGAATTTTTCACAGTATTTCAAATGTGATCACAACTTTATACTTGTATAATGACAGTTATATGTATATTGACAATGTTATTTAAAATTCATTTTCTAATTATGTACCTCACAGCACTAGATATTTCGTACAGCAAGCGCCATAGGATCAACGCTTCACCAAGTAATCCCTCATAACCCCAAGATCTCTTTCTTAGTCAGTGTCCTGATCCTATCAATGTACAGTGGTGCCTCGCAATATGATGTTAATTCGTTCCGTGAAAATTGATGTTAAGTGAAAACATTGTCTCGCGAAACACGTTTTCGCATTGAAATGCACTGAAAACCTGATAATCCGTTCCAATGGGAATGGATTGTCATCGTAAAGCGAAAATTCCCATAGGAAACATCGTTAAGCGAAACACGGTTCCCAAGTGAAGACAGCCATCTAACGAAACAGAGACCATTAAAAGATTCGTATAGTGAAGCAAGACCAAGCTGTCAAAAGCATCATAAAGCGAAAAACAGGGACCTAAAATTTAATCGTCTTGCAAGGCAAAGTCCCTAACGTCGTAAAGCGAAAATCGCCCATAGGAAACATTGTTAAACGAAGTACAAGATCACTCCAAAAACCTCATTGTAACGCGAATTTGTTGTTATGCGAAGCAATCGTCTTGCGAGGCACCACTGTATATTTATATGTATATTGTAGGGTTGGTTGGGTTGTTTTGCTTTTTCCCCAACAAACCACATTCACTTTACACTTGTCATTTCAATGCCCATTTCTCCATTCTGGATAGGGGATGTCTGAGCTCTTCACAGTCCATATATCCAATAATCATATATTATTAGGTAAGCTGGCCACCTGAATGCCCACCCCTTAACTTTATATCATTTGTGAACAACTCAAAAAGTACTGGTGCCAATTCAGACTCTTAAATGACCTCACTGTTTATATGCCTTTATTATAAACACTGGCCATATAGTCCCATGTTCTGATTTTTGTTCTTTAAACAGCTGCCAATCAATAAGACTTTTCTTACCCATGACTTCTATAAACAGAGGAAATAGAACAAAGCTATATGCCAGAAACAGTTAAGGGCAACACACACAGACCTACACCCACACTGTCATGAACCACTATCCTTCCAGGAAACTATTCTGGCATTAAGATTTGCTGTGACAAGCACATCCAGTCCCATCTCCTGCATGCATTCTTTGCTAAGCCTGGATGTAGCTCTATCTCATATAATTAGATTACAACCTGTCTTCATGCCAGCACTATTTGTTCCCTCATTTGTTGACCCAAAACTTTACATTTGCAAAGTATCCTGTAAGCATATTTAAAGTCTGACAGTGGAATACTTGGCTAGTTTGTAGGAGTGGGCAGGATTTTACTTTAGATTGTCAGGAATTAAGACATTTTGAGAAGGAATTTTAAGTTAGCATTACAAAACTGCCCATAAAAACAGAAGCTTGTTCAACCAGTTTTAAAAGACAGTTCAGTAACTCCCATATCATTATTACAAACAGTTGAGGAATTTATGACTACAAAACAGCCCTACCCTTCAGAAAAATCCATATGTTAGAGGCTGGTCTTACATAAATTGTGAGGATTGCATGCCAGACAGTTCTTAACTAGTAGCATGAAAGTTTCTGTCTTAAGATCAAATGAAATTGTGGAAGCCCAGACCACAGGCCTAGTGTTCATATTTTATCAAAAGAAAACATGTTCCTTTGTGAATCAGCAGATCCTGTTCAAAAACACAGCCTTAATTGTTGCTAGTCCATTTCTTGAATTATGTGAAGACAAAAAAGTATGTCCCATCATCCAAACATATCTGCTTAATTGATGCAGTTGTTACTCTCTTCCAGATAAATTGCCAGTGTGTTTTGTGTAAAATGAAGCACAAACATTATAATTCCTACTGGTTTCTACTAAATAGTACACTATTTTTCTCATTTAATTATAATTAAAATAATATAATAATAATTACATGCAGTCAAGTATATTCTGACCCCTTTCAGGGTCTTCTAGTTACAGAGTACTGAAAAGTACCTTTCCATTCTCTGGGAGCTCTCCGAAAGTGTGCAGTTTGCACATGACTGCACAGCCTGATTCTTGTACAACACACAATGGGGGATAGAACACCCAAGCTGTGGTTCCGTAGCCAGATACCTAACTCACTGAGCTATCTAGTCAGTTCTTGGTTTAAAATAGAACCAAATAAAGTCATATCTGCCCTAAATATAGTAGCATTCTGGTAAATAGTGCTGGATTTTGGGATCCTACTTTAGCATTCCTTTGTTTTAGAGAAAGCAGTGACTGATCACAGCTGTAACCATATCCTAAATTTACTGGGTTGGATCCACAGATAATGCTGTGCCCCTGGTACTGTTTCATGAACTGTTTTAAGACACTGTAAGACAATGTGTAAAAGACTGTGTAATGCTGTATGTATAGAGAGGAATAACTTTGGATTCTATCTGTCTTTTCATGTCCAAATGTCTTCTGCCAAAATAGGAAAATCCCTTCTGCTCATTGAAGGCTACCTCTACATTCAGTCCAGTAGAGATGGGGATATTTGTATTTGTATATGAATACGGATATCCCCATCTCTATAGTCTAGTAATATATTTTCTGGCTTTGGCAAAGCATATCAGCCGAAAAGAAAATATATGGTCAGTTTCTTAACTTCAAGTGGTTGCAAGGCGCAAGTGTTCTAGATCCCATTCTCCAAGCTGAGCAATACAGATTATTTGAAAAACCAGGATACTGAATTCAAGCATAGAGAATTTCTGTAGATTCAGTCCAAATATGGCTCATCTTTCATAAAAGAGTTTTGGAATGTATAGAAATTAATCCAAAAACATTTCTTTAGTGTGTGATATGGAAGACTGTCCATGATCAGTGCTGAAAATGCCAACAGGCTAGAATCACAACTCAAGTGATTTTTTCTTGCAACAAACTAAAATAGCTATAAGGCTACAGCCCACAGTTCTTTCTTTTAAATACGAAAAATCTTCATTTCGATGCCTTTTCTTCTTTTTTCAGTACATATATCCATAACTCCACTTGGTATTTCAAGTGATAAACAGCAATGAATATGGTTTATTACTTTCCTCATCACTTATGTCACTGACCTTGCCTAATTGGTAACCTTTCAGAATTACATTCCTAGCATTCTCAAAATAAAGACAAATGTCACACAAAAAACACTATGTTACAAGAGACAGTTTAACACAGAATGAGGTTCATGATCAAATTTCTTCCATTTCATAAAAATCAATGTAACATTACTTCCTTTACAATGCACAGACTTCCAGTCATAACAGCTAGGAACAGAAACCTCCAGTGAGCAGCCTTTGATACAATGAAAAAGACAGAGTGTTCTATAGCAACACAAAAAGAACGATGTATTTCCTAATGATCAGTTTTATGATTGGTTTCATAAGGAATAAATCAAAAAAAGCTTGTTTTTAGTTTAATTGTTGGAGTGGAATGTATTGTAGGTGGTGGTTGCCTGGCAGCTGCTTTTGCTTTGCTTGCCTGACTTGCTCGCACTGCAGTTTCCAGCCGTGTTTTCAGATCAGGAGCTGCTCCCATTACTGTCTTGAACGCATGAGGATAAAGTGGTCCAATGCGTGTTAGGTCTTGGAGGGCAAACTCATGAAGTTCTTTTGATATCACGGATGCAGAAGAGAAAGCATTTTCATTCAGTAAATAAGATATGAGAGTAGGAACAAGAAGAGCAAGCAAATGGACCCCTAAAGAAAGGAGGATAATTAAAGTTAAATTCAGGACAAGAGCTCAAACAGTTCCATGTTAATATATTCATCTTAGTTAAAGAGTAGAAACTCCAAAGGTGTTGATCCACTTTTTCCCTAATATAAATTTTAAAAATGCTTTATGGCAGAGAGCAGAATTATTTTTAGGATCTCCTGACAATGCTGCACTATGCTCAGTTCCAGCACAGCCAAGTATTTCCCTAAGGTCCTCTGTTACCATGGGAACAGATATAACATAAAATGGCACTGAGCAATATATAACCAGTAGAACAGGTGGATTTTTAAAGATCAGCTATTTCAATCTGCTGAAAACAGGTAGGAGAATTAGCATAGCATATCACAAGTCATGTAATCTGTAGAATCGTGTATTTGTCTGCCATAAACATATGGTCAGTTCTGGAATCCTACATGCACTATGAAGTATATGTAGGCTCTTTTATATGCAGGTTGCCTTGATCCTTTAAGGAACAGAATCTGTGACTTTAAACAAATGTGCTTTCATATACTGGAATTAGTCAGTCCTTAATAAACAGGGACATCTCCTTTTATAGGGACGTGGTGACCCTGCGTGTTAAATCACAGAAGCCTCCATGCTGCAAGGTCAGAAGACCAGCAGTCGTTAAGATCGAATGCACGCGACGGAGTAAGCTCCCGTCGCTTGTCCCAGCTCCTGCCAACCTAGCAGTTTGAAAGCATGTAAATGTGAGTAGATAAATAGGTACCACCTCAGTGGGAAGGTAACAGCGTTCTGTGTCTAGTCGCGCCGGCCTCGTGACCACGGAAACTGTCTTCAGACACGACTGGATTAAATGTCAAGGGGAACCTTTACCTTACCCAATAGCCAGGGAGATACACAGAATGGAAGTTTTCATCCTTTCTTCCCTCTACCACTCCTTGTGCCCCCCCCGCCCCAAGTCTGCTATAGAGGATTTTCCAGTTGTCTGGTGGAAATATTGATGGCATAAAGTTGAGTATGGGAGAGGGAGGAAAATGGCCCTTTCCTGTTTCATTAATGTGTCACCCACCTGTTTTTATCAGAGCTCTCGATAGATTAGAATAAGAATCGATAAATGAAAATTCTGATAACTAATTTCTGTATTTAAGGCAATGTGTTTGAAACAAAGGGGCACGGGGTTTTTTCTTTATTAAAATCAACAACATCCACTACCCATTACAGTCTAACTGATTCAGTTTCTCAGGGGAAAGGCATCTCCCTTTGAATTAGAGGACCATATAATCTTTATTCAATATTGGTTGAAATCCTGTTGCTTAGTGCATTAACTCACAAAGAACATAAACCCATGGAATCAACAGAATTTACAGAAGAGTTGATTCATCAGATCCCCACTGACTCAAAGGTCCTACTTTATACTAAGTGACTTATTACATTAAGCAACAAGGTTAGAGCCATGAAACCTATAATGCCATACGCTTCTCGGATGGGCAATATAAATCCTCTGGGCAATAGGCCTACTTTTGGCCCGTTCCTGTGCAGAAAAACTGGTTCAACAAAAAATTCCAAGAGATCCTTATTCTCTTCCTTGTCATGTTGTCACTCATATTTTAGAGAGGAAAGGATAATTGATATATAGAACAACCCACTGGCAGGCAGAATGTCAGATGCATCCAACCCAGTTTATGTTTCATACTGCAGTTCATATTGTCCCTGTTGTTATATCCCAGGAATGTTTGAAAATGAACTGTTCTAGGGGAAAAAAACAAGGTACTTACTGTTCTGCTCTTCACCAAGAGCAACCAATGTTTCTAGAACTTTAATTCCTTCTTGGATTGCCAGAAGTTCAGTTTTGTTGCTAGGCTGGTTCTTCTCTACACTTTTCAGTTTCTCAACCATTATTGGTGCAAGTGAATGGATATATGGCGTTGAGAGGGCACGATTCGAGTGTTGGAATACAGAAAGTAGTAGCTGGTAGCATTTGGCCTGAACCTAATAACAAAATACAATGTTGATGTATCATTTTATGAGTTCTAGTGAAACTTCTGCACTGTATAAATAATATTGAGATAATGGCCAACATCCTGTTGCTTAGTGTAGTCAATAACACTAGAGTAGGCCCACTGAATCAAAGAGGATTTGGTGAGTCAACTCCATTGTAATATGTGGCATCTTAAAGACTATTACATTTTAATATAAGCTTTTGAGGACACATCTACTTTGTCAGACATACAAAAACAGAATGAAATTGAATAAAATGTAGATGAAATAACAGTTTCACATTCTAAATGTTCATTGGTCACATGCAGTAATTAGGCCTATGTTTGTTTTAGGATCTGTGTTAAAGTATAGGAGCCTAAAACAAACATAGGCCTAATTACTGCATGTAACCAATGAACATTTAGAATATGAAACTGTTATTTCATCTACACTTTGTTCCATTTCATTCCGTTTCTGTATGTCTGACGAAGTGGACATGCCCATGAAAGCTTATATTAAAATATAATAATAATTAGACTTTACAGTGCCACATGCCTTTGTCTTTTTGTTTTGTTTCTTTGGATTTCCCGATATATCTGCATAGACTAACATGGCTATCTCTTCGAAAACTACAACTCCATTGTAATTAGCACAGCAAGTCACAGTTACAGTAGGCCCATTTAAATCAAATGAACTTACGGAGGAATTGATTCAACAAATCTCCACTGATCCAATAGGCCTACTTAAGTGCAATGTATACTAAGCAACAGGATTTTGTCTTTTCATTATTCATGAAGTGAAAATGGTGACTCCAATTGTAAGGAAATACCATCACCAAATATGGAATCTAAAAACCATCACTTATTTAAGTTTACAATAACATCCAGCCAGAATACAGATGGAAAACATTCTTCATCTCAAGAGCTGCATTTCCACATGGGTAATGTTCCCTGCTAGCGGTCAGTGTGGCCCAGACTATCCTTCCTTTGTTTCCTGAAACATACACTGCATTTGCAGTGATTTGTCTCAAATTTGAGTCAATAGCAGGCTTTAAAACATCTGTCATGTAAGGAGGGCATTTCCTTCAGGGTTCACAACATATAGGGTGGGGAAGCTAACTCCTCCTCAGCTGCAAAGTATGTGAAAATATACCCCATGTGCAATTCCACCAGATATAACTAAACATCTGGCTAAGTTCTTTTACATTTTTATATGATTTTATATTACTTCAGTGTTTCAGCATATTCAAGCTACACTTTAGAACCCAGCAATATTGTAGATGCTAATGACTACTAGATAGTCTCTAGTATTAAACACACACACACAGGACAAAAATATCATGGGCAATGGCACAGAACACTGCGTTCAGTGGATTTTCAAAATGAGACATAGGCCATTCTACAGCTTTGTTTAATGGCTATGAACAATACAGAAGAACAGACTCAGCAAACTTATCAGACTCAATTTAAAGAAGCAAAATACAGTTTCCACCATGTACATATTACCCAGGTGCTGCATATTTGATAATATGATATATATACTCAACTGCCTCCAGCCAGAAACAAGAAATACAAACACATAGATCTACCCTTTGCTGGATTACATTTGATATGTACTAGAAGATGCTACCTATGTGGTATCCAATAAAAATCAAGATTAGATACTGATGTACATCCTTGTCTAGATGGAACTACTATTGACAATTATGTAGATGGTGATATTTGTAGATGGAACAAATTATATTCCATCTACCATCTACTTACTTACTTACTTACTTACTTACTTACTTACTTACTTACTTACTTACTTACTTACTTACTTACTTACTTACTTACTTACTTACTTACTTACTTACTTACTTACTTACTTACTTAATTTATACCCCGCCCATCTAGTCAAATTGACTACTCTGGGCGGCTAACAGCATATAATATAAACCATTTAAAATATAAGAACAATATAACACATCAATAGACAATATTCGAAATGGAAGAAAAGAAAAAGTAAATCAAGTAGTGCTGGAGGGAAGGCTTGCCTAAACAGCCAGGTTTTCAATTAGCCTTTGAAAATGCCCAGTAAAGGGGAATTACAAACAATCTACAAACATTGTTCTATCATAATTTGTACATGGAACAAATTATATAGATGGAGATCGAACAATGTTTGTCAAATAAGCACATGTACTACAAATGTTTAAGAGCCAGGATTTTTAAACTTGTTGGGCTCCTAGACAGTTATCTACCATCAGAAAACTAAAAAGGAATTGCTAAGGTTTAAAAAAGAAGTACTTGCATAAACAATGTGTATATGTTGTTAAACAAATTATATAGATGGAGATCGAACAATGTTTGTCAAATAAGCACATGTACTACAAATGTTTAAGAGCCAGGATTTTTAAACTTGTTGGGCTCCTAGACAGTTATCTACCATCAGAAAACTAAAAAGGAATTGCTAAGGTTTAAAAAAGAAGTACCTGCATAAACAATGTGTATATGTTGTTAAAATTTTGTGCAACATTAACCAATCATGAGCACAAAGCCAAAATAGAAAGCTTTGTTAACAATGTTCATCTACTAACCTATCTGTTGTACATAAACTACTGTACAAATTTAGGCAGAAGATTAGACTATACGTAATCTGGGTGAACAAATGATAGCATTAGAAGAAATGCAGGACACTCACCCAAGGATCAGACGAGTTCAGTGCTGCTTTGAATCTGTTTATGCAGCCATTCTGTAATGACTGCACTCCAATTATCTCTGTGCTTGCAGACCAAAGGAAGAGTGCAATAGCTGTCAGCATGCTTACTTCATCTAAGGTAGGCTTTGAAGCCTCTGGGAAGAAATACACATAGTGAAAACAAGTCTAGAGTTACAATGAAAAAGATTTGTAATAGACAAATGGAACTGACTGCTTCCTAAGTATATGGAAAAATGCATATACACATTTCTGATCTAAAATGATTTATTGGACATATACTGCATTTGGCTTACCCTGTCATATTTTTATCCTACCCTAGATAATAAAGAGCTGAATTGTACATCTGGATAAAAAGAGAAGTTACTTACCTGTAACTGGTTCTTCAAGTGGTCCTCTGTGAATTCACACTAATGGGTTAATCTGCACTTGAGCAGAGCATCTCAGAAACTTTCACAGCTTTAAGCACTTAGTGCTGGGACCTCCCCTACACTGGCTATATAACTCCGCCCCTGGCATCCAGTGCCTCAGTTCTAACACGTGATGGACAGTGGGGAGGAGGGCAGGGCATGTGAATTAACTTCTCTTTCTCCTTCGTGGCCTCTGTGAATACACACTAATGGGTGACTGGCAAGCTGACTAACCAGGAGGAAGGACATCACGAAAGTGCAGAAGCCAGGACAGCTCGATCTACCGCAGCCTGAGCCTTCGGATGGACATCCAGCTCTCATTGACTTTGGAAGAGGAGTCTATGCTAAATCATAGGCAAGACAGATGGTCTGGACTATCCATCTAGAGATGGTCTGAGAGGACGCCAGTGCTACGAAGGAGGAGCCAGCAAAGGTGACAAAGAGACATTGTGAGGCACGAAAAGTGGCCGTGCGATGCACATCATATGACAGAGCACGCTTCACGTCCAGAGCGTGTAGAGCTGTCTCAAGTGGTGAAGATGGTATGGGAAAGAAAACAGGAAGGCCAGCTGGCTGGTTCAAATGGAAGGCAGAAAATACCCTAGGCAAGAAGGTAAGATCTGGCCATAAGGTTACCCCTTAGAAAAGAGGATCTGCACCTAGAGTAGCCAGTCCTCCAGCCCTGTGAGCCAAGGTTACCGGCAGGAGAAAGGAAGTTTTGAGGGTTAGCAAGTGGAGTGATGCTGATGCCAAGGGCTTGAAGGAAGGCCTCAAAAGCTGCCGAGGTGTAAGTGGTCTATAGGCAGGGCGCATATTCTCCAGGCCTCGGATAAACAGCTTGCAGGTAGAATGGGCCAGGGTGCTGTTCTGTCCCTGCAGCACTGTCTGGGGTCTGTATTGCAATGGATGCAGGAAAATGAGCTGAGGCTGAACTCAGACAAGACGGAGGTCCTGAGGGTGGTGGACCCCCTGTCAGTGGTTTGGGAAACTCCCTCTCTTTTTTTGGGGGGGGTGACTCTCACTGCTAAGAATGATGTTCATAGCTTGGGGATACATCTGGACCCGGTGCTCACCATGGAAACTCAGGTGGTGTCAGTGGTCCGCACTGCCAATTTCCATCTTTGGCGGATTGCCCAGCTGCGACCCTTTTTTGACGTTGGTGCACTCACCACCTTGGTCCATGCGCTCGTAATCTCAAGATTAGACCACTGTAATGTGCTCTACGTGGGGCTGCCTTTGAGATTAATGAGGAAACTACAAATGGTGCAGAATGCAGCGGCCAGACTTCTTAGTGGGGTGAAGAAATATCAACATATTACTCCCACTCTGGCTGCATTGCATTGGCTGCCCATTCAATTCCTCGTTGATTTCAAAGTTCTAATGATCATGTACAAAGCCCTAAAGGTTTAGGACCTCAATACTTGGCAGAACACCTCTTCCCACCTAGATCTACTTGTATCACCTGATCTAGCCAGGAGGGGCGACTGAGGAGCCTAACGCCGAGGGAGGCCCGGAAAGAAAAAACAAGACACCAGGCCTTCTCGGCAGTGGCTCCCAGGCTTTGGAACACGCTCCCCCCGAGATTCATCTGGCCCCCTCGCTAGGCATTTTCAAAAACCAACTCAAGACCTGGTTATATAGACAGGCCTTCCCTCCAGACTCTACGTAATTCTCTTTCTCTATTCTGTTTTGGGTTAATGTCGGGAACCGTTACCTTATATTGACTGTTTTTATTACGTGTTTGTGAGCCGCCCAGAGTAGACTATGTCTAAATGGGCGGCATATAAGCTCAATAAATAAATAAATAAAATAAGGCCCTCTTGTTTCTCCTTGCTATTCTTTGGAAGTCTGCATTCCATTTTCTGTAACTTTCCCTATCTCCCTTTCATTTTGTTTCCCTTCTCTTCTCTGCTATTTGTAAGGCGTCGCTGGACAGCCACTTTGCATTCTTGCATTTCCTTTCCTTTGGGATGGTTTTTGTTGCTGCCTCCTGTACAATGTTACGAGCCTCCATCCATAGTTCTTCAGGCACTCTGTCCATCAAATATAGTCCCTTAAATCTGTTCTTCACTTCCACTGTGTATTCATAAGGGATTTGGTTTAGATTATACTTGAGTAGCCTAGTGATTTTTCCTACTTTCTTCAGTTTAAGCTTGAATTTTGCTATAAGAAGCTGATTATCAGAGCCACAATCAGCTACAGGTCTTGTTTTTACTGACTGTGTGTAATACACATATGTAAATAAAACATTTCCAGTGCCCAATTCAAGTTGCACCAGGTGCAAAGTTATACAACAGGATTTTGCCCATAGTAATGTGAAATAACTGCATCAATTTGATTTCTCATAATGGAACTATTAGTTTTACGTCATTTAAAATTAGCTCCAGTAATTGTATTCACCTTACCTGGCTGAGAGTATTCTAATATGGTGGCCAAGGTGCTACGGATAAGATTTGTCCACTGTTTGTGAATTTCTTCACTCGTGGTCATTGTGAGAGTAACAATGTTTTTCAGTCCCTGAAGTGCTGCAGTGACTGGTGGTGACACCTGATTTCCCGTCATTTTCACAGCAGTATCCTTCAAGACTTGTGTTATTAGAAACAAGATTGTGGGCAAGATAGTCATGCAACCTGAAACATAAAGTACATTTTCTTTCAGGTAACTGAAGGAACAAAATGATATACAACAGAAAGAATCTAAAATTCTGTTCTACATAAGAAAGTACTGCCCTCTTCTCTGCTGGAGAACACCCATCATTCATATAACACTGTCTGACTTAAAACAGAATGGCCCCTGTATGCACTGAGCTCCTGGACATATATCAAAGTCTCTAGACTGTGTTCAGGCTTCTTTTCTCCTTATAGAACATATTATTATATGTAATGCTAACTATACACAGCCCTGATTATCACCATGGGATAAAAGAGACTCTTTAGAAACACAGAAGTAACTATGAGGTCTTTTGTGACTGAAAAATACTGTGGCAGTTTATTCAAGATGTCACAACATTTTTGCCTTCTTCATTTTTTTCTTTTTCTTTGGGTTTTAGCTAAAATATGAGTAGGCTGCTATAGTAATAATTATGCCCTAATACAGTAATGGCCAAAAATTCTGTCAGAAAATGCAACCCTTGAATTTAGCCCAGAATTTGCAACCAGTTACTTTCAAGTGTGGGATCTACTGAAATAGAACAATGTTGCTGATGGAAACAAGGTGTCCAGAAAAAGCTCTCAGACTAATTGTCAGGGGAGGAAATGCTCTGTGCAAAGTACAGAGTACCCAATCCAACATCAGGACAAGAAGCAAAGATAGTGAAGGCAGGAGGTTACAATCAGAAATTGTATTATGATTACTATGGCCACCAAAATAATTTACAACAGGTACTGTATTAGTAACACATTGAAAACATTTTTAAAACTAAATGCATTATTTAAAAGCAGATCTAAATGTTATCCAAAATTTATTTTAATAGAAAAATCCTAAGAGATTATGAGGATATGTTTCAGTGCAACAGTTTTTCTTGTTCAATGGAAATTTTAAAAGCTTGACTTCCCTTGATAGTGAGTTCTACAATCAAGGTGCTGCTACAGTAAAGCCTTATCACCTATAATTAGCAGGCTTTGGGTAGTGGAACATGCAATAAAGTCTCGGTTGAGGATCTAAACTCTGGACAAGAATTTACAGAGGAGGCACTCTTTTAATATCCAGGCTGTTTAGAACTTTGTAGATCAAAACCTGCACTCTGAATTCAGTTCTGATGTGAACTAGAAGTCAGTGCAGTTGGTTCAAAACTGGTATTATACAGTCTTTCAGTACAAGTCAGAGAATGTGGCCATCACATTTTCCACTCACTGTAGCTTCCCCAGAGTCCACACAATTTCAAAAGGCAGCTGAAGCAGTGCATTACTGTAATCTAATCAGAAAGTAATTAAGGCTCAGATCACTGTGGTGAAATCCGCATTCTCTAGCAAGCTGCACACCTAGCGAAGCTTTAAGTGGGAGCTGTAAGAGGAACTGACTGATGTCATTCTGCTGATGAAGAGTACAGAAGCTTCAAGAAGAGAGAATATTTCAGTATCTGATGCCTTAAAAAAGACTGATGTGCCCACTAGTCTTTTTAAAACCACCTCAAAAGCTGCTAGAACTAGAAAATATTACTGCTATGAGGCACTAAATGCAAACTTAAATGATCCATGCAAGTTCATCTTCCATCTACCAAGATGCTGGATAGTATTGTAACAACTTCTGCTATCTATCTAAACTCCTTTCACCTGCCAAAACACTTCCCACATATTTTACAGGTCTCATCTTGTCAACTTTTCATTTCATCAGCAAGGGTTTACTTTCTGCAAAACACACTGATATGTATCTTAGGAACGATTTATTGCATTACCTGCTGGGGAGCAGAGAGTGGGCAGGTCAGACAGAATGGAAACAGTGGCAGCCACAAGCTGAGCACTTTCTTCTGGGAGCTGGGTTCTGCTAGAGATATGACTTGGAGAATCTGCCATTTTTGTGCTCAGATGTGGCATGTGTCGTACCAAGATGAACATTAGTAGCTCCATGGCAGCAAAAACAAGAGATTTGCCTGGCACAAGACCTCCACTTTCTCCTCCTTCACCCAATATAGTGCTACTATCTTTTTCTTTTACATCTTCTTCATCTAAAACAAGGAAACATGGAAGAAAGGATGTATTATAAATACACTTCTCACATGAAACCTACTACAGACAGCAAAAAAAAGGCTATAGAATACTGCAAGTTAAGAACTACAAGTTTAAATATGGCCATGTAATATTTCAACAATAGTATCACTGACAGAACTTTAGCCTCAATACTAGTTAGTAACTTCTGCTTCTTTTCAAAACAATGGTGAAGGTAGGATCAAAGGTGATACAATATTTATGTTATAAGCCAAGAAACCTGCAATAATATTCATACAAATATTAATCTACTACCTTTCAATGTTTGCAAATTAAAATACAAGGAAACAATAATTAGCTTTTTATAACGTGTATCACCCAGTTGCAAGAATAGTTTAATTTAGGTTAGCTTTTAAAATGTGTATCCTAAGCAGAATTGGTGGGAAAGCCAAAAGAGAAGGAAAAGAAAGTGAACATGGATAAAAAAAATGCACACATACAAAGCCACCTGGGCAGGTAATTTCACTAAAAAATGTTCTTTTGATAAAGAGAAAAGGTTAAAGTTCAATATTTTAAGCAGCCTTCTCTATGTAATAACTGAGCCTGCAAAGCAAACTTTTTTTAATAAGTTAGCCTACAGGGCAAGAGGATCATGCTCATGAGTGATCTGCCATAAGAACTATATTTTTGGGTATATGATGTGACACAAGGCTTAGAATGACGTGTGGAACCGGAGTCTCACCTCACTTCACACAAACAAATTGGCCACAGACATCTGCCATGAATTTTTGGGATTCTTACTGTGAGACTGCAGTACAGAAAGTGCCATCTACTCCTAGGAAAGTAGAGGACATTACCCTGGCTGAACTGAAAGACCTGATGGACAGAATGACTGGGGATTTTGGTTTAAATCTTGAAATATTAGAAAGCCCAGGAAAAAATGAACTAGTAGGGGGTGCCATTTTGGCAGGAACCAAGGGGGATAACAAGATAGAAAAGGAGGAAAGGGAGTTAGTGGCAGAAAACGGGCAGATGAGAGGAACTGGGTGGAGATAGTAAAAGAAGACCAGTGGTTTGGAGAATGAGTTACTTTAAAGGTGCTCCCAGAAGTGGCAAAAGAGGGAATGGAATGAGAAGCTGGTAAGAAAGCCTCCTTAGTGAGGAGAAAGTGAAGAAAGAGAACAAAAAAAGAAGGGAAAGGGAAAGGTTTGCCCCAGAAGCTAATTATAGAGGAACCAGACCATGTTTAGATATCCCTGGGACCAATCATAGGAAGAACCAGTTGCTTTTTCCAGTTTGCAGACATCCGGGCCACCATGTATGGGAATCCAACCTGAGTTGGCTCTTTCACAAGTGTATCAATTTTTGAATGTTAATGTTGCTTCTATCCCAGTACTGGGCAATTTAATGTTACCTGTTGATTCTTTGATTAAGCCTGAGGAGGCTGTTGTGAACACTATTCTTAAAGAAGAATAGAGCCTGAAAAGTGAAGTTTTAAATATATCCTTTATCAAAGGATGAAATGTGTTAATACATGATGAAAAGAATAAACTGTTAACTGTTTTAACTGAACTTATGTCTGCTGTCTGCCGGGAAAGAAAAAGAGTGCTTGCCTGAACCTCACCCTTATCTACAATTTTTCTGTGCTATCTGTGAAAAAGGTGGTGCCCAGTCTGATGAAGTTGAATTTTCTCCATGAAAGCTTCAATTACTTGATTTTTTAAATAAAGGTATCACCCTACTCTTACAAAGAAACTCATAATTCAAAGACCAGAACAATTAAGCCATTATTAAATATGAGGAGACAATTCTACATATCTTGACAGCCAAAAATTCATCTCGGTATGCTTTATTATTTAGACCAGCGGTTCCTCACCTCGGGTAACCCAGGTGTTCTTGGACCACAACTCCCAGAAATCCGAGCAAGCACAGTTGTTGGTGAAGGCTTCCAAAAATTGCAGTCCAAGTACACCTGGGTTACCCAAGGTTGGAAACCATTCATTTAGATCAAAGAATGTATTGTATGAAAAGTGTATCTTACTCAAAGTGTTTCTTTTTTCTTGCAGATGATCTTGAGCAGCTCTTATAATCTGCTGCACAACACCTGTAACTAGCAGTTGGACTGAAGGAGGATTGCAGGTCAACAAGAGTCGATGCAGTACACTTAGAAGTTCAACACCAAGGAGCTATTATTAAAAAAAAGTTATTTTCAAAACTGATTATGTAATGACATTCTAGACATTACTAGCTTTTATAATTTACTGTCTCATTTTCTGATAATCTGATCCAAAATCTCAATAAATCTACATCTGAGAAGACTGTCATTTTAAATTATCAATGGCACTGTTCAACCAAAATGAAACACTGTCAACATCAATAAGCTAAACTCCTTCAGCTTAGTTATTTTTGACTCATTTTTTCCTATCTTATAAATCCATCCATTTCACATTTTTCCCTCTGTGCTTTACATGGTACTGTGCTGAGTAAGAGGGCTGAAAAGACAATGAGTTTTTTTTTCCATAATTAGTTTTTAAAAAGGAGGGAGAAAAATCAGGGTCAATATCCACTCCCTACAGAGCAACGGTGAAAGGCAGTAATCTCACTTTCCCTGAGTATCCAAAGAGCTACTGGCTGAAATCCTGTTTACTTAACTTACATCTGTGGAAAAGTGATTATGTTATTGGTAAAGGACAAGTTTCAGAAATTGTAAACTTCCTACTCTTGCCCCACAGGTTTTTCCAATTCTGGTGGAAAACCCCTTCACTATATGGAAACCCTTGAAGCTATGAGATGGAACCAAAAAGTCTTTAATGATCAAAAATCTTTCTCTGCTGCCAACACCATTGGGTGATGGTATTTTTGGTAATTGAAAGACTTCCTCCTTGAATATTACATTTCTTAAAGCCTCCACCTGGTGAAAGGGAATTACACCAAAGTTAGAAAAGTCATTGGACATAGGTAGGAAGTTTTTCGTTACTGCAAATTGCTCTCTGTTGGTGATGTCATCCACAGGTATCAGTTATACAATAAGAGTTCAGTCACTGTGTTGAGTGACTCTGAGGGCTGCAGGGGATGGGGAGATGCAGTACCAGTGTTGCACTGGGTTAGGCTCCAGGATAAGGCTTTAATTACTATTTCACAATTTTCCACTCTGTGTAAACTTAAGTTTCATTTAACATTCCATCATTTTTGCATGCAAAGAGGAACTCAATTGAACAGTTTGCAGTTAAAACTTTCAGTGGCTATACCTGATCCTCTGCAATGTGGGTTCTAGCACAAAGAGAATCCAGTAAAGTATGTAGTGCTTGTAAACAGGATGTAACATGTTCAACAGGCTCTTCTGTTCGAGGATAACAGAGGAATTGTATACTAACACCTGAAAAACCAAAGTATTTTAGATTCTTACACAACTTAAAACATTTAATGATATAACTTAATATACAAACCATAAACTGTCTCTGCAGATTTCTGTGCATGTATAAAATACATATAATTATTACATTAGAAATAAAACTGAAAACATTAACAAAATAAAATTAGGCTTCATAATAAAACACAAAACTAAGGTAGCCTTGAGATAAATATGATTCTTTTTTGGTACTGCTACAATACGAGAGTCCATTAAAAGTGGCAACATTTCTTCTGATAATATTATGGTATGGTAAAAGTAAAGTAAAGGTTCCCCTTAACTAATTGTCCAGTCGTGTCTGACTCTAGGGCGCGGTGCTCATTCCCATTTCCAAGCCGTAGAGCCAGTGTTTGTCCGAACACAGTTTCCGTGGTCAGCACGACTAGACATGGAACACCATTACCCTCCTACCTTGGTGGTACCTATTTATCTACTCGCATTTTTACATGCTTTCAAACTGCTAGCTTGGCAGGAGCTAGAACAAGCAATGGGAGCTCACTCCATTGCGTGGATTCAAACTGCTGATCTTACAACCTTGCAGCCCAGAGGCTTTGTGGTTTAACCTGCAGCATCACCACATACCACAATATAAAGTATGACCAAACCTAAATCAGTAATGCAAAATGTTACCCAAAATCAAGTGCATTCTATCTTTGTTTATTTCCTGCAACGATTTAGTTGAAGGTGGTGTTCCAGGTGCTGGGTTTAACATAATGGACGTGGCACGATTCTGTGGATTAGTTATTGTTGCTGATGCATCTTCCGTTATTTCAGAGGCATTAAATCCTGTACTGTTCAGCCAAAGTGCAACTGCATGTAAAATTGGAGCCCATGAGTTCCGGTAATGCAGTCTAGCTGTATCAATTGTCTCTGGAGTGTAGAATGCTCCACCTGTTAAACAGCACATTATATTAAAAGAAAGCAGTGTGGTGGGTAAAGGAAAGTATTGAGTCACAAGTGCATTTATTTAGCATTTAATATTTATTTAGCATTGTGACCGACAGGTCAGTAACCACTCCTCATTCAATAAACCACACAGTTTATTGAATGAATAAAATAAGACCATCCATAATTTACTTTATATGATTTACTTATAAAAACTTAAATAAACATTGTTTTATTGAATAACACTGATTTAAGAGTCACATTTGATAGAGTGAGGAATAAATCCTCTGGTGGCAGCAAAAAGGGTTGAAAAGTAAATGTTATACCCGAAAGTGAACCTGGGTTGCGAGGAAGAACAAACAGGGGAACTGGGTGTGCGTGACAAGCATATATTTAGCATTTAATACATTTTGGTAGAAATCATGCAAATCTTAAAATCTGTGCTATCACATCTGCACTTCTCTCATCATGGCCAAGAGAAAGCTGTTCTCTGCACACCCAGTACTAAATAGTACTATTTGGCTAATAAAGCCCAATTCATGAGTGAATGAATCATGTGCTGTCATGTTGAGCATAGAATCAAAAAATAATGGACTTGGAAGGGCCTATAAGTCCACAGAGTCCAACCCAATACAGGAATCCAATTCAAAAGATATTTAACAGTTGTCTAATTTTATCTTGAATGCCTCCAGCAAGGGAGTTCTCAACACGTCCCATGGTAATTGGTTCTATTATCATATTGCTCTAACAGTTAGGCAGTTTTTCCTGATACAGTGGTGCCTTGACTTACGAATGTTTTGACTTGCAACCAATTTGAGTTACGACCAGCTCCAGCCACAAAATTTTGCTTTGACTTGCGACTGGCGCTTTGAGATGCGACCGGAAAAAAAGGCGGGGAAAAAGCCAGTAAATTTAATCTGCTAACTTTTGGTCGGCGAAGAGGCTGCTTCTCTGTAGCTCTTTCGCCCCAGTGGTTAGACTGTGTGCATTTGGAGGAGGCTTCAGACTGCCTGGTACTGCTTTCTGCTCTTAAAAATGCCTGTTCTGAGTGAGTACAAGGTTTAGCAGTGTGGGTTTGGGCTGGGAGGGTTATGTTTCTGTGCTGTGATAGGTCTTACAGTGTTTGGGATTTTTGGTGGTTTTTTTCCCCCTGGCTGGAACAGATTAATCACGTTTCCAATGGATCTTGCAGTGTTTGTTTTTTGGTGTGTGTGTGGCCCCCCCGGAACAGATTACTGGGGTTTCAATGTATTCCTATGGGAAATGGTACTTTGAGTTATGACCAACTTGAGTTACAACCATCTTACAGAACCAATTAAGTTCGTAATTCAAGGCACTACTGTATTCAACTGAAATCTGGCTTCCTATAACTTGAGCTCATTACATGTCCTGAGCTCTGGGATGATCAAGAACAGATCATGTCCCTCCTCTGTACGGCAATCTTTCAAGTGTTTGAAAAGTGCTATCATATCCCCCCTCAGTCTCCTCTTCTCAAGGCTAAACATGTCATTTCAATTTTTCTTCAACGGGCTTGGTTTCCGGTCCTCTGATCGTCCTTGCTGCCCTCCTATGAACTTGCTCCAGTTTGCTGGCATCCTTCTTAAAGTGTGGTGTCCCGCAATGAACATAGTATGAGGCCTAACAGTGTTGAATAGACGGGAACTAGTACTTCATGGAATACAGTGTAAAATAGCATTTGTCTTTTTTTACAGCCATATCACACTGTTGGCTCATATTCAGTTATGAACTACAACTATTTCAAGATCCTTTTTGCTCATAGTATTACTGCAGTTAATGATCTCAAGTGGCCCTCACAGGGTTTTATATTTATAGAAGTACTGTACTCAGAAGTGCTCTACTAGCCTCCCTTCTGATGGTGCTCTGGAACCATGCAGCTGGGCCAAGACCATACAAGTGGCAGGAGATGTAACCCCATTAGCCACATATACACTAGGTGATTTCAGCTGGCTCCTCTCCTGAAAAGCACACTGGAGGTTCAAACTTCCAGTTCACGATTCTATGGCCCAGTGCTCCAACCCACTGAGCTATGAAAACAAAATGAGAACAAAGCAAATGTACGGAACACACCAAGCCTTCCAATATGATTACCTGTATGGTTCTGTCTCCTTTTACATATAGAAAAATAATTATATTCCCACTCACCCCAGTTGTCTCTTACCATCTGGAGGAAGCTGACTTGAAAATTCTGCTGGTAAAGTCAGAAGTGCATAGTCTTTAAGTGCAGCTAACCAGAGGCGACTAAGGGTGGGCAGCTCTGGTTGCACTAGTGTTATTAAGCTGTCTGGTGGCAGCTCATCTACTGCACTATAATCATCGTCGTCGTCATCACCTCCGTTCTTAACAGGTTTTTTCGGTTTACTCTCTGCTTCCTTCTTAATCTTCATGGCTACAACATACACCTTTAGGTAAAGATCCAAATGAAGTGTTACTGGCTGTGCAGACAATATAGATTAAATATATCATGTTCCATTAATGCATCATTTCTAATCCATAAAGTACTTGCTTCATTAATTAGGATGTACAGCTATGTGTACCTTGCTCTAAAACAAAACAAGAAAAACCCACTTTGCAATATTGGTCATCAAATGTCACGAAAAGGTGAATTCTGCAGCAAATTTTCTCAGAGACATTAGGGCCTGAGACTTTTATCAATACCATATGGCATGTTCAGGATGTTGACTATTGTGCCCAATATCCTTCACTTCAATATCATTTGAAGTAATGGGGTACAAAATCCATATCATAAACTAAAGGTGGGCCATGTGCACCCCAAAGGGTCCTCTACAGCTGTGAATCTTGCTTCCAAATTGCAGCTTGTGGTGTCAAAAAGTAGCACTATTGCTTTTCCGCTTTGAACAAGGCATGTGACGTGGTACCTCGACTTACGAACATCTCCACTTGTGAATGATTCGAGTTACCAATGGCTTCATTCGCAAAAAGTTCCTTCGACTTGCAAACGGAGCCTCAACTTACAAACGAGAAAAAAAATGAAAAAACACCTTTCCTGCCCTTTTTTTGACCTAAGTTCATCTTAGGTCAAAAGAAGAAGAAAAAATTTAAAAATTTTCCCCCTAGCAGTAGAGTACGGATTAACCAGCTTTGCATTAGTTCCTATGGGAACTAATGCCTCTACCTACGAACAGCGCCTCGACATACAAACAAAAGTCAGGAGGTATGGATTAAATGGTTTTCAATGCATTCCTATGGAGTTTGCCTCGATTTACAAACTTTTCAATGTACAAACGCCGTTCCAATACGGATTAAGTTCATAAATCGATATACCTACTATACTGTATAGTAGGAGATTTACAATCCAAGAAGTACTAATCTATTGGTAAACAGTACGTTGTTCACATTAAGCGTGTAGAGGTGGCAGATTTTACAGTAAAGAATCCATTTTGCTGCGGTGCTATATTCTAAGGTCAGCCAGCAAATCTACAATGCAAACTGTTTCCAGGTCTCAATTCAACACCTGGCATGCTGCATGAGTCTACCCTGTTTCCCCGAAAATAAGACCTAACCTGAAAATAAGCCCTAGTATGATTTTTCAGGATGCTCGTAATATAAGACCTACCCCCAAAATAAGCCCTAGTTAAGTGAAACCCCGTCCTCTACCATTGTGCAGCAATAAGAAAAAGATGACAGGACTGTATTTGAATAAATGTGGAATGTTGTACATGAAAAAAAATAAAACATCCCCTGAAAATAAGCCATAAGGCATTTTTAGAGCAAAAAATAATATAAGACCCTGTCTTATTTTTGGGGAAACACAGTAGCTTCTGATTACTCTACTTTTGTATAAATTGAGATTCCTTGCAAAAAGTTGATGGCTCCATCCACTGTCTTAAACTACAAGTTATTTTGTACATTTATATATACTAGTGTATATTTACGTTGCACATCATTTTTATTTTATGTAGAAGTTTATGTGTTAGGACAAGCTGTTGGTTATTTACTCTCAGGATCTCGCTAACAACTCATCCTTTCAGAACTGCTGTAACACACATGAGTGCATAATTACTCGGGGGGGTGTTGAAAGGAAGTATTTTAGAAATAAAATGTCCCCACCAACAGACTCTTTGTTTCTATTCAAGATATTTTGATTTAATTAATTCTATTTATATATTACCCCATTAATGCAAGTACAGTGGTGTCTCGCTTGATGACGTTAATTCGTTTCAGCGAAATCGCTGTAGAGCGAAATCGTCGTCAAGCGAAAGTAAAAAACCCATTGAAACGCATTGAAAACCGTTCAATGCGTTCCAATGGGCGAAATACCTGCGCATCCAGCGAAGATCCTCCATACGGCGGCCATTTTCTGGTGCCTATAATGCGAGGAATCCGTCCCTAACACAGTGGGGAGCCATTTTCTACAGCCAGCAGCCATTTTTCGTAAAGCAAAAAATCGGTTCCCAAAGCAGGGAACCGATCAGTGTTAAGTGAAATTCCCCCAGCTAAACATCATTTTGCGATCGCAAAAACTTCAATGTTAAGTGGATTGTCGTCAAGTGGGGTAATCATCCAGCGGGGCACCACTGTATATGAATACCTTGCTGTTTAGGTGATACAATGATGTTATACTTAATACTTTCAAATAACTTCAAGATACATTGTTTCACATTAAAAACAAACTGTTTTGGAATTCCTACATTTTTTATATTTCTGTTAACTTACAAATTATTGGTTGTGTTCTGTGCAAACTATTTATCTTCTTCAATCCACCAAAGACCTCAAATAAATAATGGCTCCTATATAATTTATCTAAAAAGTTTACCTCAGCCCATGCTTTGAGTACTGCCAATTTTTCCATAGTAGTGGCACTTTCTCTGTAAAGCTGACTTGAAGACCCTTTTCCTGTTTGTACTTTGTCCAGAGAAGAGACAAGGAGATTGTGAACACGGCGAAGATCATTAAGGTCGCTTACAACTCCACTTCCTATCCAGGTGCTACACACCTAAAAATAAAAGCAGTAATAGTAGTAATAATAGACTAATGATGATGCCGATGAACAACAACAGCAACAACAATAACAGTAAATGACTTTGTTTTTTGAGAAAGGATCCCACACTACTGAAGACCATTATGGCAGATCCAGAATCGTGTCTTTCTTGGACAAACTTCTGATCTCAACCCATCCAAAAATTTCAAAGATTAAGTTTGAACTTAGCTTGCCTTCATATGTTCTGCAATAAAAAAATTAAATAAGTGGAATATATTCTACATATTTATTGAGAGTCACTCCTAAAATAAACAAGTTACATGATACCTCAGACAAAAAATTTGGCTTGCTAATAACTTCTCACTCCTGTGTCTCTTTTTTCTCCTGAAAGCAAATCACAATATTTTTTCTTTGTACCTGGCAAGCTTTTGCTGTTATATCTGAAGGGGTATCCTGTGAGAAAGCTGGCCTTAAAGCAGCTCCAACCTATAAAAGAAGAATGGGAAAAACAGCATAATAGAATTCCATCTCATATTCCAGTTCTTGAAAGGGGAAATCAGACATTTTCTATTAACTGGCATTTGCAACCAGTAAGGAGAGAATCTGGGGACCAATTTTCTGCCTCTGGGGCTTTTGAAAAGTGATTAGTTGGGGCCTTCCAGCTTGACACTGCAGTGAGGCAGCAGCAGGAAGATGGAGCTCTGTCCCTGGGCTGAATTCTGACCTGTTTGGGACCCCCCAGGAGGTTAAAACCACCCTGAAGAGGTGGTGAAATTAGGGAGAAGCCTGTTGATCATGGGGGAAATGGTGGTTATCCACGTTTGATCCAGAAAACTCCCCAATCAACCAGCAGGCAGAAACAAGCTGCTGAGCAAGCCTGCTTGCAAGTCATCGGCAGCCAGCAATGGAGAAGTGATAAATCAGCCTAATTAACATTGTGTTACCACTAGGTGAGAAATATTTTTTAACTGTATTGCTTTACTATCCCTGGACGAGACAATTCCTACAGCAGAAATAGCGTCTTCTATTCCTCACCACTGACTGAGCAGCAGTGAATCTAGAGAGAGGAGGAGACGCAGGGAGTCACAAGGAAAATAAATTGGATATTAACTAGACATTTAATTATACTTCAAGGAAGGAAGTTTGGTATTACTTGTCGTTATAAACTTAAGAATCTTTCTTGTGAAAACACCATTGGCAACAACTCTGGGAAACTAAACCTGTTTACGCTACGTACTTGTAACAGTTATCTAAGGTGAACACTTTATGGCTGTTTGGAATTCCCTTTCTTTTTGAGGATGGAACTGAACTACACAGAAATTAACCCTAGAAAGCATAATCCAGTCAAAGTGGAACTTCTAAACTTTACCCTGGGTTCTTTACTTGATGGGACCTTGAGCCTTTAGGTGGAAAAAACTCTCTATGTCTGAGAATGGATTCAAGTTTGACCCTAAAGATGATCTATCTATTAAACTGGACCTATGGAAGCATGTACTGATGGAATTGGACTGATTACTTTAAGCATCTGGACAACTTTCACTTGGAATACAATTACTTGACATCTGGGACATAATGCCACAACAAGGTCAATTTTGGTATGAAGCAAAATCTACTCTTCAAGCAATTCTAGAAATAGTGAGATCCCATAATGAAGAGGCGATATTATTCGAGGAACACCTGAAGAAGAACTATAGTCAACAGGAGACAGGGAATAATGAACAAAGAAATGAAAGGGTGGTGGATGATGCATGCCAATCAGGAAATTAGAGGAGAAAACCTAAAAGATTTAACTCTAACCCTGGAGCTGAGGAGAATTTTAGGTTTGCTAAGGGAAGATAAGGGGAGAGAATCAGCACATCTAATTAAAAAGAGCCTGGAAGATCTATTGGAGATAGAACCAATGTATAAAATATCCACAGGTGGCACAAGGCACAGCAAAAGGTTTAGAGAGATAGAAACAAGATTTGGGAAAAGACAAATAAGAGGAGTTACTTAGAAAGATGAAAAGGGAAAAAATATTAAGGTAGCCTTCAATGTTGAAAGCATGTATATACTTAACTTCTGGGATTGTAAGGGGGCATATTGTATACAGTGGTGCCTCGCTTAATGATTGCCCCACTCTACAACAAAATCGCTTGATGATTAGGTTTTTGCGATCGCAAAACGATGTTTTAAATGGTTTTTTTTATTTAACGATGATCGGTTCCCTGCTTCGGGAACAGATTTTCGCTTTACGACGATCAAAAAGAGCTGATTGTCAAGTTTCAAAATGACCGCTGGCTGCTTAAAATGGCTCCCCGCTGTGTTTCTGGACAGATTCCTCGCTTTACAGGCAGCGAAAATGGCCGCCCCTATGGACGATCTTCGCTGGACAGTGAGTTTTCAGCTCATTGGAACGCATTGAGGGGGTTTTAACGCGTTTCAATGGGCTTTTTTATTTCGCTTAACAACGTTTTCGCTCTACAGCTATTTCGCTGGAACAAATTAACGTCGTTAAGCGAGGCACCACTGTATATTAGAAAAAGGAATTAAACTGGAATAAGGGATCACTAATCAGGGTAAAGGCATAACATGGTCATTCTTAAGGTAAACTGAAGCTAGATATAAGGATGAGGTAAAACAAATAGTACTTAATGAACATATATTAGATACAATATTGATATGATAGAAAATGTAGAGATAGAAATGGCTAAACAATTATATAAAGAAAATTTGTATAAAATGCTTTAGATAACATCTATCATGCATTATAAACCTATTCAGTTATTACTGCTATAAAATATAAAGTTCTTCAGTTAAATCACCTCAAAATTATATCAAGTTGGAACCGGAATTACTTATATTAGGTATGTTGTTAGGATTTTGAGAACACTGTATACTATGGGAGCAATATTATGACAACAGCCAATATTGCATACTAAAATATATACATGGATGGTCTAAATGTTTAGAAAACATATAGATTTTGAAGGGACAATTAAGAAGACACCAAGATGCAAAAAACAAATAGTCATAAGGAACCAATGTAACACTATGTTTAACAAGCATGAATTGAATGTAAGATTGAAAAATAAAATGTTTTAAGAAAGAGAGAGAGAAAAGTGATTAGTTGCTCTTAGATGTTTCCAATTTTATTTTTTTATTCATTTTGTCAGAGAAAGGAGATGCCAGGAAACTACACAAAAATAACCTTGGTATGTGTGCATACAGCCCCAAGGCTGCATGTTCCCTTCCCCCCTCTCTCTGTATGGGAAATGTCCAAGTTGTCCTTCCACTGAGAAAGGATATATGTTTTTAACTGAATTTCATTTTGGAGCTGCTATTAGAAGTAGGCTTGACTCCTTCAATATTATTAAGCATGAAAAATGGAAGCAGGTGGTTCACTTCATTTGAACTGACCTATTCAGAGTTGGGAATACTTTGAGCCTCCACAGCCTTTTGGTTGTGACTAGGAAGATCATAAATGATGAGGGGAGCTGCTGCAGTTCTGTGTCAGCAGCAATGCTTGGCACACTTAAGAACTGTATTTTAACTTTAAAATAATAATGATCATGTGCTGCAAAGTCAATTATGACTTATGACAACCCTTTTCAGAGTTTTCGAGGTAGAGAATACTCAGAAGTGTCCTACCACTCACTTCTTCTGGTAGGCACCCTCTTAGGACTGTGCAGCTTGCCCAAGGCCACACAGACTGGTTCTACACTCAAGAGGCACAATGCGGAATTCCCAAACTCTGGTTCCACAGCCAGATACCTAAACCACTGAGCTATCCAACCAACTTTCGTAAATGAGGAACAATTTAAGAAACAGTAGTTTTCTAAACAGCACTTTTCAAAACTCCTACATAAGCAAGATGACAGTCAACAATACAGCTCTTTCGTAAGTTTAAACTTCCAAATAAAGATTACATTAGCCTGATACTGTTCTAGAATCACATGGCCTGGGAATTCTGGTTCCGGAACTGCTGCAAATTTCTTGATAATATCTTCAAGCGCTTGAAGGCCAGCCTTGCGCAACTGGTTGCTATGGTCAGTTGCAGCCATAAATGCCATCCGAATTAGATCAGAGAGATGCAGCACTAGAAGGTCATCTGAAAATAGAGCATAAAAAACCGACAGGTTACCCACCTGTAATTGTAGTTCTTTGAGTGAACCTCTGTGATTCACACTCTGGGTGATCCATGACTGCGGGGAACCTTACTGGAAAGTTCTAGAGCTTCTGCGGTAGCAAAAAACACATTAGAATAGGCCCCTCCCCCATATAAGTACCTTGGCACTAAGGCTCCTCTTTCAGTTGTGTCAACCACCACTATATTAAGCAGAATGGCGTGACAGTGGGGAGGATGAGCGGGATGTGTGAATCACAGAGGTCCACTCAAAGAACTACAATTACAGGTGGGTAACCTGTTGTTCTTCTTTGCGGCCTCTGTGAATCACACCCTGGGTGACTAAAAAGCTGTCTTACCCGGAGGCAGGGTGTCACGCCAAGGTAGAGGCTAGAACTGCCCATCCACATGCCACATCAGACTTCTGCCGGAGATCAAGTCTATAATGCCAGATGAAAGTGGACGGCTGTGCCCAGGTGGCAGAGGCGCAAACGTCTGGAAGAGGTACACCGTGTGGGAATGCCATAGAGGCCGCCACTGCCCTGGTGGAGTGAGTGCGAATCACCTTCGAGACTGGTTTCCGTGCCAGTTGATATGCGAGGTGAATGGCTGAAGCGACCCATCTAGATATAGTTCGAGATGTCACCTGACGACCTTTGGTAGGTGGTTGGTGACTTATGAAAAGGCGAGGTGAGCACAGGAACAATTGGGTGCACTGGATGTAAAAGGCAAGGGCTCATCTAACATCCAGAGTATGGAGGATATTTTCTTGAGTTGATGACAGTGATGGAAAGAAGGAAGGATAAATGGCTGAGAGAGATGAAATTGAGATACAACTTTGGGGAGGAAAGAAATATCCATGGATAGTTTCACCTTGTCCAGAAAAAAATGTAAATAAGGCTAGTCATAACGTAAGGCTGCTAAATCAATAGCTTGTCGAGCTGAGGTGATAGCGATGAGGAAAACTGTTTTAAAGGTAAATAGTTGTAAATCAGTTGAAGCTAAAGGTTCGAAAGGAGCTTTAGTAAGTTGTTGTAGTACCAGCATTAATGACATTGCAGGGAAGGTGGATGCATATCTGGGTATATATGAGATAGACCTTTAAAACATTTTAATGTCGGATGTTTGAAAAAATCAGCTGCTGTAGAGTGAGGAGGCTGATAAGAAACTATGGCAGAGAGGTAAACTCTCAAGAAAGAGAGAATAAACTATGGCGGAGAGGTAAACTCTCAAGAAAGATAGAGAAAGGCCACTAGACTTGAGATGAAGCAAAAATGTAGAATAGTGGCAAGTGATGGGTTGATAGAAGGCAATGAGGAAGCTTCAGTGAAAGATTTGAATTTGTTCCATTTATATAGGTACGTCTTCCTAGTGGAGGGTTTCTTCACCTGATGGAGAATGTCCATTAGTGAGGCAGAATCCTTCACGCTGCCAGGTGATGAACACGTAAGTCTGGGTGGAGTACTTAGATTTGAATTTGTTCCATTTATATAGGTATGCCTTCCTAGTGGAGGGTTTCTTCACCTGACGGATAATGTCCATTAGTGAGGCGGAATCCTTCATGCTGCCAGGTGATGAACATGTAAGTCTGGGTGGAGTACTTAAGTGTTGTTCTGTGTGAGGTGAGGCAGGCAAGGGAGGTAGTAAATGTCTGAGGAGAGATTTTTAAGGACAGGAAACAAGGGTTGTCTCGGCCACCAAGGTGCTATAATGATGGCATCAGGTTCATCTTGTTGTAGGTGAACTATGATCTTGTGGAGGAGTGGGAACGGCAGAAAAAAGGTAGGTGAGGGTCTTGGGCCATCAGACACCAAATGCATCTCCTTGGGAGTGCTTGCCAATGCCGGCTCGGGAGCAGTACCGTTTGCACTTCTGATTCACATGGGAGGCGAAGAGATCGACAGTTGGTTTGCCATATCGCTTGCAAAGATGAAGAAAAACTGATTGGTCTAACTCCCACTTGTGACCTTCTGATTCACATGGGAGGCGAAGAGATCAACAGTTGGTTTGCCACATCGCTTGCAAAGATGAAGAAAAATTGATTGGTCTAACTCCCACTCGTGAGCTTGAGAATTTCTGCAGCTGAGTAGATCCGCCAGGTCATTGTTGTGGTCAGCTATGTGTAAAGCCATGAGTCAGATATGATGTGCTAGGCACCACTCCCAGAGGTTGACCGCTAAATAGAGGAGCCAATCGTCAATATATAGAAATATGATAATTTTGTGAAGTCTGAGGTAAATGGCTACTGGTGCCATGCACTTGGTGAACACTCTTGGAGCTGTTGCAAGGCCGAAAGGAAGCCTGTTGAATTGGTAGCTTGTGATCCTAGTTGAAATTGGAGAAATTTCAACTATTCGACAAAGGTTGACATATTTTCCCAGAGAAAACGTTGATATGCACACATGGCTCCCTGATAGTTAGCGACACACAAGGTGAACACTGCTGTGGAATAAAGCCATCTGCCCATTGAATCAATCCTCCTACTGTCCTTATTTGGTGGTATGAGAGCCTGTCGATGTCGAGATCTGGATTGTGAAGCTTCAACAAATATAAGGTTTGGAGCTGGTTGTTTTTGAAGAAATAAAGCTCCAGGGTTGTGGACTCTGTAGAGGTTATCAGTTCGTTTTGACATTGTATGGGAAGAGGCTGGTTTTGTCCAGGATCGTTGAGCAGTGCTAAGTAGAGATGGTAGCATTGAAATATGTACTGGAGTAGCTGTATCTTTAGAAACTGGGTTTTATAGATGATTGGCCCATTCTGTCGAAGGGCGGTGGATTTGGAGATCAAGAGACTTAGCCATACAGATCATAAGTTGGGCGTACGTTTGTATTCTGTCGAAGGGCGGTGGATTTGGAGATGAAGAGACTTAGCCATACGGATAATAAGTTGGGCGTACGTTTGGAAATCTTCTGCTGGCGATGGTGGGTCAGCATCGACAAGATCGGATTCTGGTGAGGTAAGTAGTACTGATAGCATTTGAGGTCTGGATCCATGATTGGAATATTCGGGGTCATGTCGGGAGTCAACGGATTGTCCATTGACTTCAGTGTCGAGAGGTTGAACATCATAGTACTGACATTTGTGACTCAATGTCGATGGAGGCAGCATGTTGATGGGCATTTGTCAGTGTCAAGGATTTTCGACATTGAGAGACGTCATCCGAGTGTCCGTGGACATTGTTTAATAGGGTTGAACGTTGGCGTAAAACTTGGAGTCATAGTAATGTCGAGTTCGATGGCTTGGTTCTATTGACCGATGGAGATCGTGCGTCGGCAGCAGGACAGAACGAGTGTCCATGGACCAGGATGGATGTCGAAGATCATCAATATCAGAGCCTGTCTCAGTGATGCCAAAAGGGAGGTTGTTGACGAGTTGGTAAAGCAGAGGAGTATACAGACGCTGGAGATGCCAAGCAAGAGGAATGGTTCTCTTGTCTGGGTTAGCAGGAAAATAGCAGGAGGCTGGAGCTGTAAAAGCCTCGCATGTAGAAGAATGTTGCTCGACCGTTCTGGGTCTTTTAGGCGCCAGGTAGGGAGCAGATTGGAGTCTGTGTGGGTCATGATGATATGGCCATTTCGATACCGGTGGCTGTTGATATTGAGGTCCGCTGTAGGAAGGTACGACCGAACTGGATATAGCAACTGGCTGATTGGTGGTTGTGGTTTGTCCGGTCGAGAGATATAGCAACTGGCTGATTGGTGGTTGTGTTTTGGTCAGGGCAAATGGCAACCCGATGAGAGTGCTGAACGTGGGTCTGAGCCATGCATGATGGAATAGACAGCTCCAGGGACTGCTGGGGCCGATGTCTCTGAGGAGGCCGTGGTGGACTATCAGATGTCACCGAATAAGGTATGGTCTGCAGTTGTTGTTCAGAATCGACTCTGTTGGGTGAAGCAACTACAGAAGGGTTGCCCAAAGGAACAGAGTGTTGAGGACTGGGAGGAGATGTTAAACGATAGACTCTGTCATCCCATTTTGGTGATTGAGAACAGGGTTGGTGAGATGGGATACCGACATTGTCAGAAGGCGAGGTGACAGAAATTGATTCACAAACTTGTTGAGGTTGGTGAGAAATGACTGTAGACTTAGATTTATGTTGTTTGGATTTTTTAGGTGGAGAAGGCTCCAGAACTGAAGAGGCATCGGTGGACATCTGGCGTTTAGTGGAAGGCTTCGATATCGAAGATTTCGGTATTGAGCATTTTGGCTTATGGGTTTTGGAGGTTTTAGACAAAGTGAACAGAGCGTCTGAGTGGGATGGTGTGGTCAATGGACATTGTTTTGAGGCTTCAGAAAGAGTCTTTTTCATTGCGTTGGTCTGAGAGGTGGCCTTACAGGGACATTGGGCCATTTTAGTTGGTTGGAGGGATTGTTCCCAAAGGTGGAGTTTTAACCCCGAGAGGCGAGAAAGGAGAACTCTGCACTTAAAGTTTTTACAATGCTGGCAGGAGGACATTTGGTGTGTCTCTCCCAAGCAAAAAAGACACTTGGCGTGGCTGTTGGAGAGTGGTGTTTTGTTATCACAGACCACGCAGTGTTTAAACAGGCCCAAAGGGGCCATGAATAGGAGAAAAACAATTTGGGGGGAAAAAGTGATGATGGGGGGTGCTCCAGCTGAGCAAGGAAAAAAGAAAATATCTCTGTAAGTAATGAATTCGATTTATTCTAATTGTAAAGGAAAAAAGATTTTAGAATAAAAAGGAATCTCTTTTCTCATTTACTCACAGAAGCAGAACTACTAGGCTCTCAATGCGGCAGTTGAAAGAAACTGAAAGGGGAGCTTTGGCGCCAAGGTGCCAAGGGCCTATTCTAATGTGTTTTTTGCTACCGCAGAAGCTCTAAGAATTTTCCGATGAGGCTCCATGCAGGTGCGGATCACCCAAGGTGTGATTCACAGAGTCCACAAAGAGCCACCACTAGTACTTCAAAAGTCAAACTTGCCAACTTGCCTTTCACTCTACATTACACATGTATCTGATACAGTTTCAGGAACGCAAACTGAAGAAAACCTCAAAGTACTACCTGAAAAGCCAAGATGGACAAATTATATCCCTTATTACAACTGTATACTGTACAGTACAAATAAATTATAGTTCTGTTTATGTCCACAGCAAGTGTAAACTAACATTATCAGGTTTACAATGCCTATCACAGCTAGGGTTAAGTAATTTTTAAAAATCCATTGTCATTTATTAAGCCAATACGTGCACAAAAGTGAAGCCAACATGCTCCATCTTTTTATCACCCTTTCACTCTTCTCTTCTTTCACACTTTGGCTGAAGACTTCCTAAAATAATTAAACATAATCTTCTGTTACATCTGAACTAAGAAATTAAAATTACAAGTTTCAGAACAAACCAGGAGACAAACTTCAAACCTTGTGTATGCGCGCGTGTGTGCAGAGGATGGAGTATATAAGATTAAAGGCACAGCACTGTAGCCTAGGTTTTGGGTTACAATGCATGAACTACAACTCCTCTTTGTTCTCTAACACTATGAGAGGGCACAATAGGTTCTCACAGACTAATGGTCATTGAAGACTATATATTGAAGACCAATATATTAAATATTGATATTAGACAAGGGCAACCACTAGCAAAGATAACAGTTCTCAATGGCTCTGAAAATAAAAGAATTGGCCACCCTGCTATGACTGCAGGAGGGTACAGTGGGGTCTCGACTTACAAACGACCCTAGTTGCGAACAATTCAACTTACGAACCCGCCCTATACGGGAAATAAGGACTCGACATACAAACTTCCCTCAAGTTACGAACACGAAAAAAGTGCTCCCTCCCCTTAGAGGCTTCTGGAGGGGGAAAAAGGGTCAGAAACTTAAAAATAAATAAAAGAAAGTAACTTACGAGGCCTTGGTAGCCCCCAAACAGCAGGAAAAAGAGCAGGAAACTGCTAAAAGCCCACACCAGAAGGGAGCCTGGCAGCCATTTTGTGCTTTTCCTCCCCTCCTGCACCCTCCTCTCCCCACCTATCAGCTGATGGTTGGCTCTGAAGAGGTTTGGGGAGGCTTGCTCAGCACCTAAAAAGCCTGCCTGTGTGTCTTTGTGCTGAAAAAATCAGCACAACATGCTTTAAAACATGATTTTAAATTGGCTTCAGTGAAAAAAAAAGATTTCTAAAGTGTTTTGCAAACTGTTCCCTGCCTTCCTCCGTTTCCTAAACCTAAGGGGGAAAGGCAGAATAGCAGCTTCCCATTAGTTTCTATGGACGGAATTAATACAGATTAAATGGTTTTCAATGCATTCCTATGGGAAATGCAGATTCGACCTACAAACTTTTCGACCTACGAAACACCTTCCCATACGGATTAAGTTCATAAGACGAGACCCCACTGTACATCATTTTCTATATATGCAGCATACAATTACATTGGAACTAGAAACCCAAGCCCAAAATGTGGCTGGCTCAGGAACAAATAGAACAACTGGTCCCCATCAAATAAGTCAATGAGATACCTTGAGCCTCTCATCCTATACCTCATAGTATTTTTATAAAGGTAAAATGAGATAAAGTGCTATAGTAGCCTATTATTGGAGAAGACAAAGAAAACCTCTAAATAAATCTTCAAGGATGTTAATTTCTAGCAGTTCCAGTAGAGAGCAAGTGAAGACAAAAAAGAAGAGGAAGAGAGGAAGAGAGGAAGAAAGCAAGACACAACTGTTGCCAGTGTCATCTCTCCTTACTTTTAGGGTTCCTGAGTTTTGCTGAACGGGCCAGAGCTAGATCAAAGTGGGCTTTATCTGCATTTTCACAGAGCATGATAATTCGACACAGGCAATCAGCAGCAAACACTCGAGTAGCCCAGCGAGGGGCCACAGAAGGCTTTGATTTGTCTTCTTCACCCAGTGTTGTAAACATTGTATCATCATCCATTTCATCTTTCTTCTCTGAGTCTTCATCTTTTTCACCTCCCAGTGGAGCTGTAGTGGTCATATCTGCAAATAAAAAGGGATTGCATTCTTTTACTAAAGGATTTCTAAGCAGGATTTCATTAAAACGAATTCCAAAGCATCTAGAAGAGTTAAATCCACTGAAATAACATACAATTATAAAAACAACAGGAATGGTCATATAAATATCGGCATTAAAACATTATGCACTTGAAACCTAGGAAAAGTTCCAAAAGAACTTAAAACCTAATCAGGTAGGCACCAAGTGAGTGCCCCTGAAAGGGGCATTCCACGTTAGCGTAAGACCACAAAGGCACTGTTTCTGTGTAGTCAAGAGTCAGCTGCAAGCAATATTTCAAAGAATGGACACATACCTGCCTAAAACCATAAAATCTTTGCCACAAAAAACTTCATTCACGTCTTAATTACCAATGAACACACCAAGAGCAATTTAAAACTGAACGGTAAAAAAAGAGATTAAAATATTTTTTGTTATAACTCTGACATAATAAACATGTTGGTGTTCTTGTTGTTTAGTCGTTTAGCTGCGTCCAACTCTTCGTGACCCTATGGACCAGAGCATGCCAGGCACCCTGTCTTTCAATGCCTCCTGGAGCTTAGTCAAATTCATGTTGGTAGCTTCAATGACACTGTCCATCCAGCTCGTCCTCTGTCGTTCCCTTCTCCTCTTGCCTTCACACTTTCCCAACATCCCTTTTCCAGGCAGTCTTCTCTTCTCATGAGATGGCCAAAGTATTGGAGCCTCAGCTTCAGGATCTGTCCTTCCAGTGAGCATTCAGGGTTGATTTCCTTTAGAATGGATAGGTTTGTTCTCCTTGCAGTCCAGGGGACTCTCAACAGTCTCCTACAGCATCACAATTCAAAAGTATCAATTCTTTGGTGGTCAGCTTTCTTTACGGCCCAGCTCTTGCTTCCATACATCATTACAGGAAAAACCATAGCTTTGACTATGCGGAC